AATCCGCGGGTTTGATTCCGTTGAAATCGCGAGATGGGTTTTATCGCGTTTTAGGTCCTTCCGGACCGTTTTGCGATAAAAACCGTTTTCCGACTTTTACGGAATCGTTTCCTGATCTGACGTCGTTTTTAATAAATTTCTCGAGTTAATCGCAGAGTTTTACGATTTACTCGACTTTTTTATTAAAAACACGTTTTTTTACGACTTACTCAGCGTTTTTTATTAAAAGCGCGTTTTTTATGATTTCAACGAGAAATCTTGAATAAATCGTATAGTTTAGGCAATGTTCGGTGTTTCGTTTAACCGTTGCCGTTTTATACGATTTCCTCGAGTTCTTTCCGAGAAAACGAAGTTTTACGGTTTTTATCGTAAAACTCGAACGGTAAGTCGGATCGAGACGAAACGAGAGACATTTCGACCGTGGTTCAGAAAGCGACCGTGTCGTAAGATCGAATCGGGGATGCGGGAAATCGAGGCTCCGGGAGGTCTCTAGTTCGCCTGCTGGCGAACTAAGCCGAGCTGGCTTAGTTCGCCAGCAGGCGAACTAGCCAAGGGTTGTCTAGTTCGCCTGCTGGCGAACTAAGCCAGCTTGGCTTAGTTCGCCAGCAGGCGAACAAGTCGAGAGAGTGTAGTTCGCCTGCTGGCGAACTAAGCCAAGCTGGCTTAGTTCGCCAGCAGGCGAACTAGTCGTGACTAGTTCGCGTTCTGCGGCGGTTTCGGTTTTTCGCGGTTTTGCAAAACGAGTTCTCGAGTTTTATAAAACGATCTTTGAATTTTATATAACGATCTTCGAGTTTTTATAAAATGATCTCTCGAGTTTTATAAAACGATCTTCGAGTTTTATAAAACGATCTTCGAGTTTTTATAAAACGATCTCTCGAGTTTTATAAAACGATCTCTCGAGTTTTATAAAACGATCTTCGAGTTNTAAAACGGTCTTCGAGTTCTTATAAAACGATCTTCGAGTTTTATAAAACGATCTCTCGAGTTTTATAAAACGATCTTCGAGTTTTTATAAAACGATCTCTCGAGTTTTATAAAACGATCTCTCGAGTTTTATAAAACGGTCTTCGAGTTCTTATAAAACGATCTTCGAGTTTTATAAAACGATCTCTCGAGTTTTATAAGACGATCTCTCGAGTTTTATAAGACGATCTCTCGAGTTTTATAAAACGATCTCTCGAGTTTTATAAAACGTTCTCTCGAGTTTTATAAAACGATCTTCGAGTTTTATAAAACGATCTTCGAGTTTTTATAAAACGATCTCTCGAGTTTTATAAAATGATCTCTCGAGTTTTATAAAACGATCTCTCGAGTTTTATAAAACGATCTCTCGAGTTTTATAAAACTGCTGCGTTTACGCGTTTGCGGGGAATTTTGGCTATTGATTCCGTCGTACCGATTTTGACCCCAACAATGTTTAGAGAGTAAACCACCTTGCTTCAACTTAACACTAAACCCTTTTTCTTACCAAACCAAATGACTTGGAAAATTTGACCATTTGCAAGATTTTAATTGAGTTCGCTTAATGACTGTGAGAGATTTTGGTGGATTTGTTGTTTGTGGATTTATGATGAATGAGGAATATCCTGGAAAACTGAATACTCTTGTTCCGAAAGATATCATGGAGCTTATGAAGTTAAAACTTGGTGTAACAATATCCTACTCCAAAGCCTTGAGAGTAAAAAAATCTAGCTATCTCTGAGTTGCGTGGTGGTTCGGAAGAGAGCTACAAGATGCTATATAGCTACTTGTACATGTTAGAGCAGGTCAATCTAGGAACAAAAACAGGGGTGAAGTTGGATGAGGCAAACAAGTTCCAATTCCTCTTCATAGCTCTGGGAGCTTGTATTAAAGGTTTTGCAGCCATGCGGAAGGTGATAGTTTTGGATGCCACATTTTTGAAGAATGGATATGGTGGGGTACTAGCATTTGCTAAAGCTCAAGATCCTAATCGTCACCATTACCCGCTTGCGATTGGTGTACTCGATGGTGAGAATAATGCTAGTTGGACATGGTTTTTCGAGATGCTCAAAACTTCTATACCAGACTCTTTTGAATTAGCTTTTATGAGTGATAGAAATCAGAGCCTCATCTCGGCTGTAGCTAATGTGTATCCAAAATCTCACCATGGCCATTGTATATGGCATTTGTCTCAGAATGTGAGAGGGCATGCTTGCAACACAACCAAAGCCGTAGTCGGATGCAGATTTATGGAGTTGGCTAGGTGTTACACCATGGCTGAGTTCGAGTCTGCTTATGCATCCTTTAAGGTCAGATTTCCTCCGGCGTACAAGTATTTGGAGGAGCATATTGAGAAAAGCACATGGGCTCGGGTTTATTTCCCAGGTGCGAGATACAACTTGGACACGAGCAACAGTATGGAGTCAATGAACAATATGTTTAGGGAGGCGGGGAGGTATGCTTTTATACCAATGTTGGATACAATTATCAAAACGTTTTATGACTGGTTTAATGAACATCGAAAGGACTCTGTGTCTGGGTCTATTGATACGAAACTGGTTCCTCTTGTCGAGATTCACATCCATAACCTATGGGCCGTAGCTGAGAAAACACCAGTGCGTGAGCTAAATAGTTATGAGCTTGAGTACGAGGTAACCGACACTGATAATGGGAAGAATTATGTTGTGAACTTGATAGCAAAGAGTTGTACATGCAAGGTATATGATTATGAAAAGTATCCTTGTCTGCACGGACTTGCTGCTTACTTACATTTCCTTGAGGTTGATGCTGCTCCTGGTCGTCGACGTGATGTGAGGATAGAGTATCATGAGTTGTGCTCGAAATATTACTGGACAGAACTTTGGGCACTGGTTTATTACAAAACCATTTAATCTGTGCCGGATAGGTCTGAATGGAATGTACCAGATTACATCAAAGAGCTTCAGATCATACCTCCGGATCTCCTAAAGAGGAAGGGAAGAAAAAAAATAAGAGGAGTCCATCTGTTGGGGAGCAACGTAAAAGGACACAGAATAGGCGACCAAGGCAAACTTTTGGTTTCAATTGGCTGTTGTTTGGAATGCGTAGTAGTAATGTCAGTGAATAAAACTAGATATTTTGTTGCTGTTGTTTGCTTTTCATATGTTGCTGTTGTTTTCTTTTGGGATGTTGCCTTTGGTAAGTTTCTTTTTGTTATTTTGAAAACACTGGTAAAACTAAGTATATCTTTTCTGGGATATATCCAATTTTTCACTTAGGGATGTTGCCTTTGGTATATTTCTTTTGGTTATTTTGAAACACTGGTAAAACTAAGTATATGTTTTCTGGGATAGACCCGATTTTTCACTTTGATAACTTTAATAAATGAAATGAATACTGCACCTTTTTCGCTTTCTCTTTCTTCTCATTTTCTCGCGACTCTTCTCGTTTTCTCTCGACTCTTCTCCTACTTAGGACAAAGTAGTGAAGATGCAAGGAGATGGTTTGGGATCGTCAAGGATATAAGCTTATAGAGAAGAATTCTTTACTTTTCATGATTTTAGAGATATTATTGCACTAGTCATTTATAATTACATGGTAATACAGAAAATGACAAGTAAAACTTTCTTCACAAATTAAAATTATACGTAAAACTAAAAAATATTAAAATCACGAAAATAGAACTATGAAGAAAGTTGGTAAAACCAAAAACTTCAGTAAAACTATGCGCAAATATTTGGGAGGGAGAATAAAAATTATTTTCGCGCCATAACGAAAATACCCAAAATTTTCAATTATTTGGGTCAAAAAGTAGATTCCCTCTGCTCTTTTCCCAATCACTTTTCCTACTTCCCAAGCACTCTCTCTCTACTCTATCTCCTCTCTTCTCTTCGATATCCACTTCCCAAGCATTCTCTTTCTATCTTCTCTCTTTCTCGTCGATTTCATTTATACAATCTTCTGTCTTTACTCTTCCCCATTCCTGAACATGACTCATCCGTATGAAGAGATGAAGGAGATGAAGAGGCTGAAGAAACACTACGACATGTTAGGCTTATAGCCGATGCGCAATATGGAATTCCATATAAAGATGACTGTTTCTCCGATTACCAAGTACAAATCAGATATCGATACCTTGCCTGGGAATAGGTACTTCACCTGCAAGAACTATGAGGTAATTCTTGTTGCCCATGTGGTGGGGAATCATTTGTTTTCGTTGTAAAACTAAGTGAAACTGAGATATACTGTTTGAAACTCCGTAGTAGTTAGTTAGAACTGGATTACACTTTGGGTGAAACTAAGTTATACTCTGGGTAAAACTGTGCAGGACGATAGGATGCACTTTCATCAGCCATGGGTTTTCGGTGTTGAGGAAGAAGTGCAGCGCCTAAAGAGGGAGGTGGCTGATATGGCCGAAGAAATTGCTACGCTTAAGAGGCTTATTACCTCCACCTCCACCTCCACCTCCTCCACTACATGAGTCATGTGATGTGCGAGTGCTTAAAACTTTGTCTATTTTTTTTGTTTCGGTTTAAACAAGTCTTTGTTTGTTAAGACTCGTATAAGTTATGTTATGCTCAAACTCTTGAATCTTATCTTACGTTATGCTCAAATTTATGTTATGTTAAGCACTCTTAAACCTTCTTTCTACATTACTTTATCCATTGATACCCTGTTGAAGATTAAAACTAATTCCCTAGTAAACGATCATCAAGCATTATTGCTAACACTCACTCACTCAAACTACACAACAAAAATAAAAGCAACGTTTTACCATATATAGTCATAACATAGATAAAAGTTCTAAATCCACATCACATCATAAATAAGAAACACAGCCGAAGACTACTTCATAAAAAAAACCAAAAAAAACAGTTCTACCACACCAAACGAAATTCTAACACAACCAAGCAAGTTCGTCACTCTACTTCACTTCCTCTGACGTTTCTGTTTCTTTATTTCTCTTCCTGCTGGTGATTCTGCTTCTTCTGCTGCTCCTTCTGCTTTACTTTGTGCTTCCTTGACAAATTCCTCAAGCGGGGCCAATCTCCCATCCAATTGGTTAACCTTCTTGTCAACTGTCCTCATAAGTTTCATCGTTCTTTTCAGCAGCTTCATAACATCTCCCAGTTGAATCGACTGATCACCTACCTCTACTCCTTCTTCTGCTGAATTTTCAATCCCTTATGCCTCTTTGCTTCGTGCAGCTTCATCTTCCTCGTGCATTTCTTCAAAATAGATCTTACAGGCTGCATCCAGACACTTCTCCCAACTATCCACAGCTAAATCATAATCGTCTACATCGTCTTCCTCTTCCATAATGGTATCCAAGATCCTTTCTTCTTGTCCATTTCTGGTGGGGGTGATGCTTTCAACATCTCTCTACCCTGCGTAACAAAACAGTCATACATTAGTTCTACCATAGTTCTACTCTAGTTTTACTTCAAACCTATCATAGTTCTACCACAGTTTTACTCTAGTTACACGTTAGTTCCCATGAAAACTCACATTTATTTTACACAATTCCTTGTTTATCACAGAAAGTGAAACCCTGTCATTCCATTTCGTTTGAATGAGAACTTGCACATCCTCGGGCAGTTGACATTAGCTCCTGCAACAGGTTCTCTGAACGCCATTCCTAGCTTAGGAATTGCCTCGGATGCAAGAAGCTGTTAAACACAACATTTATGTAATACCATCAATAAATAACAATAGCAATCAACTCATTAATTGGATTTTGCATACCTCCAGTGGAACGCAGAAACCTGGAAGCGGCCATAATGTTTTCTCTTTCACAAACCATCCAAAATGGTCCATTGTGTGAGAGGTCTCCTTCTGCATGTAATCAAAGGAGAATCTCCCCCATGGAAAGGTCTTGCAGTACTCAAGATCATCCACTGCTCTCTGGAACACATCCAACACATCATTAGCCTTGTGTCCAGCCTTCGTCTGCACACAAACAACAGAAGCTAAGAAGAATAAAACCGCCATCTTCAGTCTATCCTTGTGGGGTCCCATGTCCACCAGATTCTTCTTAACATCCTCCAACCTTCTAAGTTCTCCTTCCTTGAAATGTCTATCAACGAACTTCGTCCCACCAAGCTCTTTGTAGCCGAGAGGATAGTTGTGGCAGAATAGCCCAGATATCAAAGCGTGTTCCCTCAGCCCATAACGGATGGGAACCCCATTCACAATGAACCACACTTCTCTCCACCTCTCGCTACCAACAGTACGCAGTAACAACATCCACATTCACTGAACCTTGTTGTTTTTCTCTCTTTTCATGTGGAAAATGTGTTGCTCCGTGAACGAGCTCCACTCTGCGTTAGACAGCTTGGGTTTCAGATTACTTAGCGTCTTAATAGCGCTAGCTATCATACACCTTGTCCCTACCTTTATTTTTTTCTTGTACTCAGATGGATTGAAGAACTTGCTGGTTGGTTTGATTGCCTCGGGTGCCTCATTTCCATTCAAATCCTGCAAGTTATAACAATGTTATATCCAAGTTATACTAAAATTATACCAAGTTATACTAAAGTTATACCAAGTTATATCAAAATAATACCACAGATCCGTTTACAAATTCTCAGTTTTCTTATGTTGTACCAAAACTGACAGTTTTTCCAATTATTCTCCTAGTATTACTGGAATCCGTTTAACACAATCGATTTAATAGCTCGCCCTAATCATATGGTACGACTTAAATTCAAATTCAACTATAATTTGTTACCTGAGGTTCAGGTGGATTCTCATTTTTGTTTGCTTCCTTTCCTCCATTTGCATCCTCTTCTTCTTCATCTTCAAAATCTTCCTCCTCTTCATCTCCAGAAGCAACTTTCTCATTTTCTTCATCTCCAGAAGCGTGTTCATCATTCTCTTCATCTCCAGAAACAATTTTCTCATTCTCTTCATCTCCAGAAGCGACTTTCTCATTCTCTTCATCTCCAGAAACGTGTTCATGATTCTCTTCATCTCCAGAACCATGTTCATCATTCTCTTCATCTCCAGAAGAGTGTTCATAATTCTCTTCATCTCCAGAGGTGGTCCCAATCACCGGAGTTGCGGGAGGACCTGAAGGAGGTGGGCGAGTAGGACCTTTTTCCACTCTCGTCGGAGCAGCTTCTGCAACCACATTACTCGGCTCCGTCATCTCCGCCGTATTCTCCATTGAGTCTTTTCTTGTCTTCTCCGTCGAGACATCCACCGTATTCTCCGTCGAGACATCCATCGTCTTCTCCATCGAGACATCCACCGCCCTCGTTTCACTCTTCTCCGTCGTCTTTACAAACTTTACACTTGGACCCTCTTGCTCCGTTGGATTCTTCTTCCTCTTACCCCGTCTCGTTTCGACCAAAAATCAGATTGATTTATGCGGATTCGATTCTCACATGGTTGATTTTTAGAGACCAACGAATCAACTATAGTGTTTTCTCTAGGTTTTTCGAGAAGAAAACGAAAGGTTTCAGTTGATTGATTTATTTTCGAGATATTGGATCGATAATAAATTGAGAGGGTTTGCTAAACTGACAGATTTTGTTTGGTTTAAAGGAATTGGTTCACTTGGTAGTATGGTTAGACGATTACACGGTTCGGTTGAATTGATTTGCCCATAAATCCGGGTCGGGTCGAGGCGAAGGGTAATACCCTGGTATAACTTGTTAATACTTCAACTTTTCCCAGTTTCTCGTCGTTTCCGTGTTTTCGATTTTTAAAAATATAGTTTTTCTTTCTATTTTATTCAGTGTCCTCTCGAGATTGACTTATCACATTTGGGGGCTCCAGAGGTGTTGCCTCCTAAAAATCCTAAAAACCTTTTGCTGTGAAAATAAAAATACAAGAAAGCTCTCTAGCCTAAAAAAATTTGGCAAAGTATAAATACATAGGTAAAAACTTGTCAGGGGCATAATTTTAATTTGGTTGTCTTGGGCTTCAATTCCGGTAGGTCGCGAATTGGTCTTCCGCGCCTTTGGTATCAATCACTGCTAAGAGCATATCGAGCGATTATTAACACTCCATGTCGACCTCCATGTGTTGGTCGATATCCAAATCGAGTGATTTCTCTAATTCTCTCCAAAATGATCCAAAAACATCACTTTCTTCCAAAATACTCCTGAACCTATAAATATGCTTAAAACTTCTATAATATAATAAATAGTTGTAAAAACACTCATATACCATGACTAAAATTTGGTCAAAATTATGGTATATCGACTCCCCTAAACTTACCCTTTTGCTTGTCGTCAAGCAAAACAAACAGGCAGTCTCTCTAAAAGAGGTTTGAAAACATCAAGGAGTCACATATTTTAAAACTTTGAAATCATCACCTATACAATATTGCAATCCAATCTAAGAAGTCATAGTCACAGAAGTTCATTATGCCATATCCCAGCTTAGCAACCAAATTCATCTAGCCATCAAGATAGCAAATACTATATGACATTCCCCTCAACTAACCTCATTTCTTAACATAAATAAAAGTGCAGGCTTTACCTTGGGAGTATCGATCACATGATGCAAGGATTCTCAAACAAGTATCTGGAACTACAGGTAAAAGTTAATTCCTATCTTTTCTCTCTTCTAATTTCTCTATTGAGTCAAAATCTGCTTCTAATGCATGATTATTGATCAAGATTGGACAGGCTTCCATGAAACAAGACTTAATGGTGGTTGCCACCAAGTCATGATCACTTCTTTTTGACCTATATCCAATAATTCATATGAAGTCCCATTCGAATCCTTTTTGTTGAAACTATTATGAATCAAGCCTTAATGGTTGTAGCCACTAAGTTCTGTTCAGATTCCACCTAACTAAAACCTATAAATATATTACTACATATATATATGTATTTTATTAAGAATAAATCTACTTAACTATATAGGGTCGAAAATAGAGAGAAGAAAGGTGATAAATCTACACAAGGCTTTACCTTCCAGACTTGTTTGAAGATTCCGATCCCATGTATACCAAACCCCAAGACAAGCAACTGTCAGGTTTAGTGTTGGAGGTCAGCTTTGGTTGTTTTAAACAATCTAAATAAGTCTGAATAGTTGACATGATGATCCACTTTAGCATCTTTAGTATTGTATGTAATCAGTAACTCTAGAATGGTGCTAAATAAAAATAGTTTTTGAAAACAATTTTAAATAAGACTCATAGGAAAACAATATCAGTAAACCTCCCCAGACTTAAATTACATTGTCTCCAGTGTAAAACAGTAGGAGTTATGGCGAAAGAAATTAAATGAAAAGTACTCCATTGAACAAAGATGAACGATATACCTGACCGAACTGAATATTGATCGATGTGAAAAGGTATGAATCGATCGTCGCAGGTGATATGGTGTCAGTTGATATTGACTGGGTCTCGTCGGTCGATAAGATGCTAATTTGTTTCTCCTTTGGTCTTTTTTTTAATAAAAACCTGCAAGAATAAAAATGAAAAGAATTAATAAAATAAAATAAAAAATCAAAATAAAAACT